TTCTCACATTACCTCTGGCCCTCTAGGGAATATTTTCACTTTATGTCTGGTCTACTCGCGAATACTTTCACTTTATGTCTGGTTCATTAGAGAATACTTTCACTTTATGTCTAGTCCACTAAGGAGTATTTTCACTTTCTGTCTGGTCTAATAGCGAATACTTTCACTTTATGTCTAGTCCACTAAGGAATATTTTCACTTTATGTCTGGTCTACTCGCGAATACTTTCACTTTATGTCTGGTTCATTAGAAAATACTTTCACTTTATGTCTAGTCCACTAAGGAATATTTTCACTTTATGTCTGGTCTAATAGCGAATACTTTCACATTATGTCTGGTCCACTAAAGAATATTTTCACTTTATGTCTGGTCTAATAACGAATACTTTCTCATTACGTCTGGTCCACTAAGAAATATTTTAACTTTATGTCTGGTCCACAAAGGAATATTTCCACTTTATGTCTGGTCCACTTGGGAATACTTTCTTATTACTTCTGGCTCAGTAGGGAATACTTTCACATTATGTCTGGTCCACTAGGGAATACTTTCATTTTATGTCTGGTCCACTAAAGAATATTTTCACTTTATGTCTGGTCTAATAACGAATACTTTCACATTATGTCTGGTCCACTAAAGAATATTTTCACTTTATGTCTGGTCTAATAACGAATACTTTCTCATTACGTCTGGTCCACTAAGTGATATTTTCACTTTATGTCTAGTCTACTGGGGAATACTTTCACATTACGTCTGGCCCAGTAGGGAATACTTTCCCATTATGTCTGGTCCACTGAGGAATATTTTCACTTTATGTCCAGTCCGCTAGGGAATACTTTCCCTTTATGTCTGGTCCACTGAGGAATATTTCCACTTTATGTCCAGTCCGCTAGGGGATACTTTCACTTGATGTCTTGTCTACTAGGGAATATTTTCACATTACGTCCAGTCCACTTAGGGAATACTTTCACTTGATGTTTTGTCTAATAGCGAATACTTTCACTTTATGTCTGGTCCACTAAGGAATACTTTCACTTTATGTCTGGTCCACTAAGGAATACTTTCACTTGATGTCTTGTCTACTAAGGAATACTTTCACATTACGTCTGGACCACTAGGGAATACTTTCACTTTATGTTTGGTCTACTTAGAAACATTTTTACCTCATTTCTGGTCCAATAGAAGCACTTTTGCCTTATTACTGGTAAACTAAAGAGCACTCTCACGTCACGTCTTCACTATAGGAGGAACTCTTGCTTTACTTTTGGTCTGTTAGGAAGCACTCATTAACAATAATTTCAATTTGTTTACAGTCTACTGCCAAAGATATTGTCCTCAAGTCACTTGATATCATCACTATAGCGATACCACCAGCATTGCCTGCAGCACTCACTATTGGCATAGTCTATGCACAGAATAGATTGAAGAAACAAAAAATATACTGTATAAGTCCAACAAGGATAAACCTGTGTGGTACAGTAGATGTCTTCTGTTTCGATAAGGTGAGATAATTATATACTGCACAAGTTCAACAGGTATAAACATGTTGAACTGTAGATGTCATCTGTTTTAATAGGATGTTTTTCTAACATACATAAGACATTGTATCAGACATAAGCACATACATTTGTTTCATGATTCTATTCAAAATGCCAGAATGGCAGCCATTTTAAGAATGCATGAAAATCATGCATGTTCTACATTCTAGAACTACAGTAGATTATAGTAATATGTTTACGAATTTGGTTAAACCTTTGTACATATATTGAACACAATGGGACCTTGTTAAACCTTATTTTATTTTTTCAGTTCAGGTTTAAATTGGCCAACTGGCAGCAATTTATATTTCTGACATGCTAAGGCCAATCTTGTTAAAATTTTATAAATACATCTGACGTCATATTGGACATATACATGTGCATTCGTGTCATACTGTGATTCAAGATGGCTAAAAGCAGCCATTCTTAGGCTAGAAAGTACATCTCGACATTCATTTAATTTGTATATTCACAGAGCCAGATAGTCTTCAGGAGCGACCATCTCCAGTAGCAACCTGTCTAATTTTCATTATGTAGTGTAAATAATTGTTTTTAGTAAACATTTACAAGTATTTTCCTAGCTAACAATACAATTCATGTCATAATCTATTAGGGGCCATGAGATTAATACAGTGTATGTAATATTTACTGAGAAATGAGTAAATTAATTAATGTTATAAATAAGTCTTGATGATCTAATTCTTCCTGTATAATACCACTGTTTATTCCTGTTTGGATGTATTCACAAAATAATTTTGAAAGAAAAAGATTGTACCAGACAGCAAGTACATCATTAGATTGTATATTCTGAATTACTTTTATAGTGCAATCATAGGCAAGGTGTTCAGTAGTTTAACTATGTTTTGTGCAACATGGACTGTGTTGTGATATAACTTTGTACATGCAGTGAATTGAATCATGAGGTGCATATCATTTTTTTTTACAGATCTGTTTCAAAATAGTTCAACTGGGAGTTATGGATTATGCCCATCTTGCAATATTATTTTATTATTACAATGTAATATCATCTGTCAACTGTTTCTCATCAGTATTATTGACAAATAATTTTGCTATTTATTGGGCAGACGTTTTTTTTTCATTTTTTCCCTTTGCTTACTGTCATAAAAGCAGTGTCTTCATTTACATATTATTTATATATTGATTTATATTATGACTTGCTAGTTTGTTTCTTATAAAATGGGTCACTGACTCAACTCGTTTAGTAGAACTCTTTCAGTGATCCCCACCACAAATTCCTTCTTTAATTAGTAATGTTACACTGACTTTGTAATTGTTTGTATTTGGTAAAATTCATTCATTAATTCATTCATTCATTCATTTATTCATTTATTCATTCATTCATTCATTCATTCTCCATAACACATACATCATACATCTTGGAATACATCTTGTGCACATCTATTCATTTCACGATCTCATTCAAATGGCTATTTTTAGTTCCTGTTTCAGGGACTATTATTTTGGGTGCTGACCATCAGTCTTAATCTGACATGCTTTTGCGATCACATTCAAACTTATCTCACAGATCTTGTGTGGCGACTTGCATACGGTCATTTTTCAGTACAATTTGATCAAGTATGGCTGACTGGCGGTCATTTTGGTCTTCAATATTACAAAATTCTGTTACTTAATCATGTCCTGGACAAACTCCTCAAAGATGAGCAGGGAGATTTCATTCAAAATTTATATCATAGTCATGCATATGTATGTCATATTTTTGGGGAGATTTGAATGAAATGGCTGACTGGTGGCCATTTTAATTATACTCATGCCAATGCCTATTCCTCTCTATTATATTGGCTGATTCAGTTGAAAGTTTGCATACAAGTACTATACTCATAGGTAATACCATAGTTTGTGCAAATTTGTTGTGATTTTTGTGAATTGGCTTTGTATGTATTGCTCATATTCAAAATGTTTTTGATTGCACCACAAAGGAACAATGGATTCATGCTTTTATACCTCAAGATTGGATTATTTGTAAATACAAAATGTAGTCTGTATAGTCATCTTTGAATGGCGGCTATTTTAATGTTAAAATTCATCAAATAATATTTCTGCCCTTTCAGATCAAAATTGTGGTTATACATAGACAACTATTGTCACGCTTGGTCCATACAACATGAGTATATTTTTTTTCAGATTGGATTCAAAATGGTTAAATGCAAATGCTGTTCTAGAGCAATGACTCTGACATACATTGACTGATCGCAATCAAACTTCACTCATTTCAGTTTCGTTTACTATTTAACTAATGTTAATAATGTTTTTATTCATTTTATTTTATTAGACTGGAACATTAACAGAAGATGGTCTGGATTTAATGGGAATTGTTCCAGTAACAAACTCAAGGTACAATTTAAAAAATTGTTAACAAAACAACTTTCTGATAGAGATGTTGGCTTATGTGCACCTAGTAGTTCAGAATGCGAAGATTGAAATGTTGATGATATTCAAAATAAGAATGCTTGACATGTATTCATTTAAAATATTGATTCAAATCATTTAAATCAAACATTTCTGCTATTCTACTGATCTCAGTCATCAATATACATATTTAATCTAAATTTGGTATACCTAATGAACATATTGAGTTTGTGATGCAGATCGGATTCAAATGGCTGACTGGTGGTCATTTTGTTTTAATATACTCAGGGCAATATCTCTGATTTATCTAGACCAATTACATTAAAACTCTAAACAGACATCATATCCTGCATAAGCACATATACCAGTTCTTTGTATTAAATGTTTGACATTGACTTGATCAGATAAGGGTTTCTTAACACTTATCCTACCAGTCCCATGTATTATATGTTTTGCATTGACTTGATCAGATAAGGGTTTCTTAACACTTATCCTACCAGTACCATGTTATAAATGTTTTGCATTGACTTGATCAGATAAGGGTTTCTTAACACTTATACTACCAGTCCCATGTATTAAATGTTTTACATTGACTTGATCAGATAAGGGTTTCTTAACACTTATCCTACCAGTCCCATGTATTAAATGTTTTACATTGACTTGATCAGATAAGGGTTTCTTAACACTTATCCTACCAGTACCATGTATTAAATGTTTTACATTGACTTGATCAGATAAGGGTTTCTTAACACTTATACTACCAGTCCCATGTATTAAATGTTTTACATTGACTTGAT